ATTTTTTTCCATTCTTCTCTATCTGTCGCTACAGTCATCCATCTAGAGCCCACGTGCTTCTTGATATCATCTGCCCATCTTATTTGGGGCCTTCCTCTGCTTCGTTTATATTCCCACGGTCTCCAACTTATAAGAATTTTGTTCCATCGGTCTTCTTTTTGTCTTATATTGTGTCCGGCAAATCTCCATTTCAATTTTGCAACTTCTTGTCTAACATCCCTCACTTTTGTTTTCTCTCTTATCCACTCGTTTCTCTTCTTATCCATTAGTCTTATGTCCAACATTTGTCTTTCCATTGCTCTTTGGGTTTTTATGATTTTGTCCATGTTTGCTTTTGTAGATGTCCACGTTTGGGAACCATAAGTAAGAACAGGGAGTATGCATTGATTATATACTTTGGTCTTAAGATGCTGTGGATATCTTTTGTTTTTAAGAATGTAGCTTAGTTTGCCAAATGCCGTCCATGCCAGTCTAACTCGTCTCTTGATGTCTGCTGTTTGGTTCTCTTTGTTAAGTTTTATAATTTGACCAAGATATATTATATAATCCTTAACTTGTTCTATTTCATCTTGTCCGATTCTCATTGTGATGTCTTCATCTGTATTTGTTATAGTTTTGGTCTTGCTGTAATTCATATTAAGGCCTATCTTTCCAGCTTCTACGTCCAGTTCTTTCATAATTTCAAATAATTCTTCTTTTTTTATCGGTTATCAATACGATGTCATCAGCGTACCTTAGATGGTTCAAGCGTTGTCCACAAATTTTTATACCTTTTTTTTCCCATTCTAATCTTTTAAAAGTATCTTCAAGAGCCTAATTGAAAAGTTTCGGTGATATTGTATCACCCTGTCTCACGCCTCTACTTATTTGTAATGATTTTGTTCCTTCATATACTAATTGTTGTTTTGGCTTCCTTATATATATTGGTTATTAGTTCCGTATATCTGTGGTCAATTCGACTGTTAATCAAAGAACTTTTCACTGCCCAATGTTCGACATTGTCGAAAGCCTTTTCGAAATCTATGAACGCCATATATTATAGAGGAATGTGGTATTCATTTGTTCGTTCTATAAGTATTTTCATACTTAGTGAATGGTCACTTGTGCTGAGTCTCTTTCTAAAACCAGCTTGTTCTTTCGGCTTGGGTCCATCGAATTTTTTCGTCAATCTATTGGTTAAAATTTTTGTTAGGAATTTTATATCTGCTTTATCCCCTTTTTTGTGTAGGATAATGGTTACTGATTCCTTCCAGTTGTTTGGGATTCTTTTTTCTTTTAATATCTTGTTAAAAAGGGAATGTAGAGTATTAATTACCACTTTTCCACCATATTTCAGCATCTCTGTAGTTATTCCATCTTTTCCAGGCGATTTGTTGTTTTTCATTTCTTTCAATGCCTTCTTTATTTTTGATTTGCTTATTTCGGGCTGCAGCTCTGAGTTGACACTTTTTTTTTTAGACCTTAAGTTGGTTTTTAATTTCTTCTGGTGGTTCCTTTTTTGTTTTATATAATTCTAAGTAGAAATGGTGGATTATATTTATGATGTCATCTTTAACGTTTGTTTCTATTCCATTTACATCTTTTATTTTGTTTATTTCAAACTTACCTAATTTCGGCCTTAAGCATTTCATATTTTTGTTGTTTTGTATTACTTCTTCTATTTTTATTTCTTGTTCTTTTCTCTTATTTTCTTTTATCATTCTGCTTATTGTTTTATTAATTTCTACATGTTCTATAGATTTCCTTTTGCCTTCTTCGTTCAGCTTCCTTCTTTTATCCATAAGCTTCTTTGTTTCTGTTGATATATAGTTGTTCTTTTTTAGATCCTTCTTTGCTATTTCTTTTCCTGATGTAATCATTGTTGCTGTAAGTATGTTGTCTATTTCGTCTATATCTTTATCGTCACTGTCTAATCTTTGGGTAAGTTGTTCTTTTAATAGGTCTTTGTATATCTCTTTATATTGCCCTAGTTTGTTTCTATCTACTAGATTCCAGTTTCTACTTATTTTTCTTTTCATCTCATAGTTACCGTCAATACTAATTTTTGCTCTGACCATCCTGTGATCGCTACCTGTTGTGAATCTGTTAAGAACGGTTACATCTTTAATGATTTATCGTTCCGTGGACAGTATGAAGTCGATCTCATTTTTTGTGGATCCATTAGGGCTGATCCATGTCCACTTTCGTTGGGGCTTCTTTTTGTAAAAGGAGTTCATTGCGTATAGATGCTTTTCTTCTAGGTAGTTCATCAAAGTATCACCTCTATCATTTCTCTGACCATACCCGAAATCTCCTATTTTAGTTTCTTCTTTGTTTAGTTTTTTACCCAGTTTAGCATTGAAATCTCCAATTACTAGTGTAAGATGATTTTTATGTTCTTCCATAGCCTTTGATATATCTTCATAAAATAGTTCGATATTTTCTTTATCATAAGCTGTCGTGGGGGCATATACCTGGATAATTTTAATTGATGTTCTTCTTATTTTAAGTATGACATAGGCGACACGATCTGATATACCTTTGATAATTTGGGCGTGCTTACTTATAGCTTTATTTATTATAAATCCTACTCCAAATTTAATATTTATTTCATTTCCTTTATAATATAGTAGATTACCAGATTTTAGCTGTATTCGGTTTTCTTCTTTTCTTCGAGTTTCTGATAGGCCTGTGATATCCCATTTTATGTTTGTTAATTCTTCTTCCAGTTCATGTACTTTTTCATCTGTGGACATTGATCTAATGTTGTATGTCCCTATTGACAGGTTGACGGGTTTTTTTTATTTATGTTGTGCTCGTCTTAGTGGGTTTTTGTTTTTATCAATCAAAAGCGAATTATTGCCTCCCCCAGATACCGTGAGGCAGACCTTTGAGGTGTGGGATTCAGAAATTTTCTTACACACCTGAGGATCATTTCCTTTTGTTTTATTATTCGCCATGATAAAAGTGGGGGGGGGGGTGGTGTCAGTTAAAACACCACGCTTGCCAGGCGGGTTGGTGAGTGAGTGATCAGCCGCCCATTCTGGGTCAGACGCTGTTTGTAGCCGTCCATTCTGGATCAGCCGCTACATTTAATTTTATACTAACCCTAAAAATGGGGTGCCACTTCCGCCATACACACCGTACCGAGATGTTCCTTCTCTGCCGTGGATACCGTTGTGGTCTTCATCCGTGACCCTGGACAAGGGACCCCAAGCAGGTACTAATTTTCCGGGTCAGAAAACTCCTGCACTTAGTTTAGCCTGCAGACCAATGCAGTTGCCCGGGGTGTGGCACGAGGAGCCATAAGTGAGAGTTAGGTGTCTTATGAGGACCAGTTATCAAGAACCATCTCCCGTCTATGACGCTCGATGTGGTCGTTCCAATAAAAGGTACTACCTCTATAACACAACCTCTACACCCCAAAGCATGAGTTAATAGAATAATTATAGTCAGAATGATCGAAATTATTCAAAACGAATAGGCACCAAAAGAAGAAGTATCTCTTTATGTTTTTTTCTTTTCTTTCGTTTTAAGTTTTCATGTTTTCACTGTTTTAATTACTGCTTGTTTTGTATTCTCGGTTTTGCTCTATCATGGTAAAATAGTTCGATTTCGTCTTCATTTCTATCTGCCGACAGAGCACAAACTTGAATAAAATTTAATATACCTTTTTATACTGAAGTTGTAATGATACGATTCTATCAGAATAAGGAGTAAAACTTATTACAGAGTAGTTGACCGTTTTTGCAATTAAGATAGCAACACCATAGCGATGGTTGACCTAGTTGTTACCAGAATAATACTTGGTTCCGTTATTTGTAATTGGTTTCCTAGACCTGACCACTGTACTTATATATAGAACATCAATTTGGAGGTTTTCCATTTGAAAAAGTACATTCGCTAATTTACCACTTGCATATAGACTTCTAACATTCCAGGTTGCTACTTTTAATGACTTAAATGCACAGAAATTTCTCTGGTTTACAACCTGGGAGACCCTGTGGTCTACAGCTATTTCCCTTATATGACTGTGCTAGAGGCACTCTTCTTCTTCTTCTTGTGTCGTCTTCTAACGAAGGTTGGCGATCACTTCTTTAAACGCTTCTTTTGCAACGTGAAATATCTGTTCAACACTGAAGTTAGTCCAAACTCAGCCAAGATTTCTTTTTTCTTCCCAAGCCTTTTCTTCCCTTTCATAGAGGCACTCTATGAGTCTCTAATGCAATGGTCCCCATTGCCTTCAGCATCCTTACTCCGCGCCTTTGATCTATTTTTCGGTTATCCCTCATTAGGGCCAGTTTTCCAACCCATTGCCATAAGAGTGCCCTTCCACTTATTAACTCATCCGCCCGAACCCGTTGGTCCCCTGAACTTTCCACTTAATAACTCATTCGCCCGAACCCGTTGGTCCCCTAAACTTTCCATTTAATAACTCATTCGTCCGAAGCCGTTAGTCTCCTGAAGTTGGGGAATCATTTGGTGAATTACCTGTTGGTCCAAGGGAAGTATTTCATTTTCCTCCTTTCATTTGCCACCTGTGGACGCGCTCTCTAGGGGTTACAGGTTCCTCTAGAGATTAAGTGCCCGTTAGTAGCCAAAAATATCTTTAAAATATAAAAGTACAAAAAAAAGATAGAAAAGGAAACAAAAAGAATGAAAAAATAAAAAATCATAAAAACAGAAGAAAAGAAATTAAAAAAAATCAATATTAAATGTTTGGATTACAAGTATAAATGTAGTAATTGATTAATAGAATACATAAATTGTAAAAAAATGTTTTTAATTAAAACGGGCAATATAGCAAATTGGGCTAGCTCCAAAGCCAATAATATTAAGACCACACACAACCCTATTTTCTTAAACTATTTACTTACTATTTTTTCATTAGTTACAAAAAACTTACTTATTAAAAAAATCACTTAGGTATATCTTTTTATATTTCCTATTCCTATAAGCATGTTCACTGTATTTGTCGGTAATAGCAGATTGTTTGTACTTAACATGATTTTTATTTCTAGCAGTACCACTACAGAAAAAGAAAAGACTGTCTTAAGTTCAAATGTAAATAAAAATAAAAGTACCGAAGCCACTAAACCACCAATAGTATTAAGAATATGCAGGGGGAAAAGCCAGCTATTAAATGATTCTGATGAGTCTGAAAGTACACCTACACCTTCTAGTACACCAAGCACATCAAATGCAGCTAGCCCTCGATCCATCCGGGAGACATCCCGGCCAACCAATTGTCGAATCACAAGGTGAGTCTTTGACATTTTTGTTTTCTTTTCTTATTGTTTATTATATGGAGCCGTGAGAGTAGCTGCTCTAATCGAACAAGTAAGAAGATGCTCATTAAAAAATTACCTCTTGTATACATACTATAATAATATAAGGTATTTTTTAAAGAGCCATGCATGATGGATGCATACAAAAATGTTTTTTTTTTTAACTGTGAAAAAATAGCATTTAAAAACATTGCATTTTGCTCTATTTTAAATATCTTGTTAATTTTATTTTTGCTACAAAAGGTGTTGAAAAGTTGACACAAACGAACAGTTTAAATTTATTCGTTAAATTTTCAAGATTTTACTCTAATAACTGTTGATAATAACTTAAAATATATTTTTTATTACTGACATGAAAGAACTGTCACAAACACTACACTGGAGGCATCCGGTTTCACTTACTGTCATACTAGGCTTTATATCTACTTGGGAGAAATGCAGATGTATATCTTATTTCTCAAATACACAGCAATAGGAATATTGTGACAATCTGCAAAAATTTTATTTTTGGATCTTGATGAATCCTTTATAAAAGGTACATTTATTAAAAAAAAAGGCTCTTTTGCGCTACATCACAGAACGTTTTTATACTAAAAAGACCATCATCAGTACAGTTACCAGGTATACATGAGTGAATCCACTAAATATGTGGGTAAAAACCCGTTAAATTATATTAAATTTGTTATTTATCAACAAAGATGTAATAAATAACAAATTTAATATCATTTAAGGAGGTTTTACCTACATATTTGAGGGCCTCACTCATGTAGGTGAGACCGTTATACCTTGACAATGGTGTATCTTGCGCCACAGTCAATATCCTACTATTCTTTGTTTCACGTTAAGAAAATAACATTACGCTTATGGAGATCAGTGTTGCCAAAACTCTCAGACACTCTCTTTTTCACGGATGTCCAAGATATTCCCTTTGCTTAATTTTTGAATTTTCATTTTCAATTAATATTTAACTGTAAAGTCAGAATAACTACTAAATAAAAGCCTTATTATCATTATGTAGTCAGAGACGACATAAAATAGCTGACATACGCACATCGTATTATTTTAAGTTGCAATTAGTAATTAGATATACGCATTCCAAGCGGTCAATATTTTCTACTGATTTATATGATTCATGGCATATCGTATTCTCACCGAAAAACAAATAATCTGTCGTTACTATAATTAAAATAAGATAAAATAAAATTATCTTTTGTAAATACTATTTATCTAATTAAAATCATTTTCCCTACTTTTCATCTCTTGTTTCGAATGGGCACTTTTGGTCAATTACGTTAAAAAACATTAATTTAATTCATGTTTGTGGAAACGAAAATACAAATTATACAACCCTAAATTGTGCTTGTGTGTGTCGTGGCAACGCCGCGTTGCTATCGTCCATAAGAAATACATGGCCCTATCTTCGCAATGTTATTTTCTAAACGTGGAACGTAGTATAGTGTCGCTAAAGATTTAGTAATTGTCGCGTCGTACCTAGGTAGCCATGCTACCTTTGAACTGCGTTTTACATTGCGGCCATTCGCCGCTTTTGTCGGAAGTGGTGATAATTTTATTGTAAGTATAGTTAAGTGTGTATCAATATTAATCAGTGCCCAATTGAGTAGTAGTCTGTGGTCTGTCTCTTGGTAAGTGAAAAGAGCCCATCATTTAGTAAAAGGTTTGGTGTAGATAGCTATATTTATTTATTTTTGCACACCCGTGTACCTTGAAGCCAAACTGCATCTTATTTCTTGGACCGGCTCAGTCTGTGGCCTGTCTCTTGGTAAGTGAAAAGAGCCCATCATTTAGTAAAAGGTTTGGTGTAGATAGCTATATTTATTTATTTTTGCACACCAGTGTACCTTGAAGCCAAACTGCATCTTGTTCCTTGGACCGGCTCAGGGTACAATAAGCTGTAGTGATTTTCATTTTTTATATATTGAACTTAATTATGCCACGAAGTAAAACAGGTATCAAAAGGAAACCAATAAATCCTGATGTATTGCAAAATGCAATTGAACCTATGAATAATGAAGACCCCGACAAGAAAATGACGTTTCGACAGGCGGAAAAAGTATTAAAAGTGACCAGGTCTACAATCACTACGCACTTCAATAAATACAAGGAAAGTGGGGCCGTTAAATTTAAATATTCTGTAAACTATGCCGTCAAACAAGATTCCGCGATACTGAAGAGCAAAGCCTTGTTACGTATATCCAAAATATCGCTTAAATGCAATACGGCCTGAGAAAAAAAAGGGTCAGGATTTTGGCTTTAGTTTCGCAAAGATTAACAAAAAAAAATCACCCAGAAATATGACTTGAGAAAGAAACGGTTGGAGAAGAATGGATGCAAGAATTTTTAAAGAGACATTCTAGCAAGATTTACTTTTAAAAGTAAAAGTTAAAAACAATGAAGCAGAGAAAGTGGTTGGCAAAATGCAAAATAAAAGAAGAAATAATAATTGGTTTGCGATGAGTGCAAATTAGCAGTGGAAGAAAAGAATAAAAGAAGATTGAAATGGTTAAACATAGGCAAAGGAGAGGAATGAGAAAAATACAAAGATCAAAGGCAAAAGATAAAGAAATTATTTAAATCGAAAAAAAAAAATCGAAATATAGAAGAAATTATGAACGAGATAAAAACAGAAAATAAAAGACACAACTCAGATCTATTGTACCAATACTTATAACTAGGTAACCGAAAAGGGACAGCTAATATAGCTATAGAAGCAGAAAAATGACCTAAATGACCAATGAGAGGTTCACGTGGTCGACGAACCCGGTCCATTAGACAGATGCAGAGATTGCTTTGCGTCAGTTTTCTCTGTCGACTAGGGGAATGCGACTGTATTGCAGCAGTCAGTTTATCTTGTATTATATTTTATGGTTGAGACTCACACGGATAATAATAAGGTTTGACCAAACAAATGTCATTATACGTTATGCAATGCTTTCTTGTAATCGTCGAATCAGAGATAAATGGGTTGTATTCTCTTGATTGTTTAACAAGTTCTAGATTGAAAATTTGCTCTTATGTTCCCCTTCCTTTCGAATAAATTCAACTTGTTCAGGAGCTTGATGGGTGGTATATTGCTTAAACCTATGTTATATTAGCTCTAGTTAACAACACAGATAGTTGTGAACCTGAAATTCGAAGACGCATACAACTAGGAAAAGCAACAAGGACTGCACTAAACGGGGTATGTCGTGATCGTCAAATTACTATGACAAACAAGAAGAGACTCCTTTTTTACTCTGGTCATTTCCATATTATACTATGCATGCGAGACATAGACAGTCAAAGCCAGACATGGAGACGACTGCTTCCAATTTCATGGACGGTTCGTTGTTTCGAATGTTTCGGCTCTAGATGAAATTTAACCCAATCAGCGTCTCTGTAGTATTTTTTACTCTAGAATTTTAAAGTTCTTTGATCATAGCCATCGAAGTGATCACAAAATGAAGTTTAATCTGTTTTTCATTCCAGCCCCTGGCTGGTGGTCCTTCGTCCTTCAATTCTTTAAATAAGTTAATGTTCAACCAGTACAGAAATAGGTTATAAGTTCTGAAATAATAATTGACTTATCCTTCCTCTTATATATAGGTCGGAAATATTAATAAAACAATTAAACTATTTAAAAATTACTAAAAACATCGATTGTTTTCCAATTTCCTCGCTTATAACTTTAAAACAATTCATTTTGGAGCAAAGCCGAACAGAAATAAAATAACGACAATTGAATTTTTTATAAGATACGGCTGGTTAAAAATGCTTTAATTTATTACTCTTGCTGCAAAATAGCAATAAATAAAAGAAAAGAGGGAGAATATTTTTCAAAAACTTAGATTGCACTGATTACCTTCATAATTCGTCTAAAAATCTTTATAAAATAATCAAACAGCTTATCAAATTTCATTAAACTCGATTTAATATATTTCGCGTAATAATTTTGCAATCGAATTTTTTTTGTAAATTCAATTTTTTTTTAATCTTTCACAACAAAACTAGACTATATAGAAGTTTACCAATTTTTTTACTATTAAAAATGTATTTAGCCTATCTATGTACTTTATCGAATTGAAATCAGATTATTTTGACGGTCTCAAGAATGTTTTATAATTATAAACAATTTTTTGGCTTATAAACAAATAGGATATATCGGTAACTATTAGCTTAAATTAAATTCAGGAAACGACGTTGGAAAATACTTGGCAAGACGTTTCTTATAAAAGAAAAAAAGTTAAATTACGAGCAGTGGTTCCTGAGCTACAACCAATCAAAGTTGACCGGCATTTGTGACGAAGTTATAAAAAATATAGTTAAAAAAAAATAGGTTGAAGTAAATTTAATTTCAAATAATAAAATCGGTATACGTAAAAAAAATGTATTTTCGCGGCTTCCAATGATGCAATTTTCTTAATTTTTTTAACTGGACGTAACTAGAATAAAGCCATCTAAAAAACGCATTATCAAATGCCGGGGATGCTTTTGTTTTGTTACAAATAAGTTAATTTATTTATACTCCAGTCGTTACGGACGAAAATGCCAGTGATCCTCTAAAAATTATACGAACAAGCTGAATTCTGAGAATGTTAATTTTGGGACCCCAAAAATATGCAAAAAGTTTACTATTCCTACTAGGAAAGCCTACTTTAGGCTTTCCCCTAAAACCTTCCCCCCTCCTCGTTGGCGAAAAACGGAAAAATCGATTTACCACGAATCTGTGCGACGTAGAAAAACATATTTCTAATAAAAAACGTAGCTGAGACAATTTTTATCTAAAAATGTTTTATTAGCACTTTTTGTGTAAAATAAACCATTCTTCAAAAATATCGCTTGAAGTTATATCGAAAAAAATCGAAAAACGTTTTAAAGGTGAAGCTTTCTTATGCAATGTTTGCCTTTTGACGCAATTAAAGACAGTTTCTATAAAAGTGTTATAAAAATTGCTATAAAAATTTTCTAAACGGATT